GACTTTTATGTATAGCAACAACTTATATATATCAACTTCGCTTGTTAGAGAAAGTGAGCCTGACAACGTGTTGTTTCCCTCATGTGTGTGCAAAAATGTGTAAGTGTAAAATATCATGTTTATCAGCTTCCCGTCTAATTTGTAGTGGGACAAAATAATTTCTAGTTGTGGGGAGCTTTGGGATGTGGGTGGACACAGTCACCTTTCTTTCCCAGCTGTGGCAGGATCCTCTTTTAGGTAGTGGTGAAAGAGGATTGCCTTCCGTGCTCCCACTGTGTGAACTCCTGGGTTGTTGTAAGGGTCTACAGACCCACAGGTGTGCCGAGTTATCGTTTGTCTGGCTTTTAAGGTCTCCCATGTAGATGTATTCTCATGTTTCTAGTATGTATAAAAGAAGTATTGTTGCTACTCTAGTACAGAACTTTTTTTTTTTTTTTTAGTTGAAGTCTTCCTCTGTTGCCCGGGCTGGAGTGCAGTGGTATGATCTTGGCTCACTGCAACCTCCGCCTCCCGGGTTCAAGTGATTTTCCCACCTCAGCTTCCCAAGTAGTTGGGATTCCAGGTGCCTGCCACCATGCCCAGCTAATTTTTATGTTTTTAGTAGAGACAGGGTTTCACCATGTTGGCCAGGCTGGTCTCAAACTCCCAACATCAGGTGATACGCCCGCCTTGGCCTCCCAGAGTGCTGGGATTAAAGCCGTGAGCCACCGTGCCCGGCCCAGAACCATTTAAAAGTATCATTGGAGCTGTAGTATTAGCTGTTTGTCATTCTGTATAGTTTTAAACTATAGATACTAAAATAAAATTACTATCTTGTATGTTTGGAGTGTGAGTGTGTGTTTTCCGGTTGAGAACTTTTTGAACATTTCTGGAACTAAAAGAGGTCTTCATAAAATAGATAATGATGTCAACAACATTTGAATGTACTTAATGCCACTGATTTGTACAATTTAAAGTGTTAAATCTTCTGCTGTGTATATTTTACCACAATAAAAAGTATTTTAAAAATTTTTAAACTTAAAACAAGACATATACACAGAAAATAAAGGGATTTTCGTATTTAAAGAAACTGGATACCACTGTCCTAGAACTTTTTTTAATTTGGCAAATGCGTAGCCAGCACCAAGCGAAAAATGCACATGGTGGTCTCACCCTACCAGTCTGAGGTTTCATCAAGAGCCTTACACATCAACTACTCTGTCTCCATGGCAAAATATACAGGTTCAAAATGTATAGTCATCTAAAATACAGAGAATACTGTGTTCTTATGAGTAAACAAACATTTTCTGTTCAACGTATACTATTTAGATATAATGAATAAATACTATATGTATTCATAACTCAACAGTGTCTGAAGGTTCACAGCGTGTCACATGCTCCATGTCGGGTGGAATGCTGCACATCAGGCAAGCCATGCTCTGTCCTTTGACTAAGTGTTGAGAGAAACAGAGGTCTTTGCATTTCTGGGGCTTGCCACCTAGCAGGGATGGTGCTCGGTGCCTCACTGATGAGTGTGTAGTTGCACAAGATGATGACTGTGATGTGATTTTACTCTATGGTAAGGTCAGTGAAAGGACAAATACATGAGGCTTTGTAGGCATGTGCCCGGGAAAGGCACCAGGTGTTGGGGGATGGCTCAGAGAAGGGCTTCCCTGAAGAAGTGATAGTTCAGCTGAGGTTTGAATAATGAACAAATAGCGACAACACTCAGAAGAGGAAATTCACCACATTTCCCCTCTCAGATTCGACTCTTCTCCCCAGTAGCGGGTATCATGTGTTCTTCAGTATTCCACCCTGGCATGTAGCATTTGACGCATGTGAACCCTCAGTCACTGTTGAGTGATGAATAAACATATAGTATCTATTCATTATATCTAGATAGTATACTTTGAACAGAAAATGTTACCCATAAGAACACAGTATTCTCTGTGTTTTTCATGAATACACATTTTGAACCTGTATATTTTATGATGGAGACGAAGTAGTTGATTTGTAAGGCTCTTGGTGACACCTCAGACTTGCAGGATAAGACCACCATGTGCATTTCTTCAAGAACAAGGACAGTATGGGGCAGGGGTGGGGCTTGTATATGCCTTAGGTATACATCGTCTTTGTGAGTGGAGGAGAAATGATTAGACCCACAGTGAGAGGGTCTAGGTGAGCAGGTAAATATAAATGGAGTCTTGCTAGGGAACCTGCACTGGCCAAAGTAAAACTTAATATTTTTTGACATATAACTTTTGCATTGTGTTTAATCCTAAATCAAATTTGGGATCAGAATGAACTTCCATAGCAAAGACATATATATATATGTTTATATATGTGTGTGTGTGTGTATATATGTATATATGTGTATATATGTGTGTGTATATAGATGTACACACACACATACATACACACACACACACACACAAATAAGGATAAGTAACATAAAATGCTCTGCTGGAGGCTTAAAAAGCAATGCTGCGTGAGTTGAGTCATTTTGGAAAGGGTGAATTAGCAATATATATTATTCAATAATTAAAAATTCAAGTTGTCCAAGTTTTAAAAAGCTCTCTGAAAGAATACAAAGAAATATGATTTTGAAAACATGTAATACAGTCAACGTAAAACCTCTATTTCCTTGTGTGAATGAACATTCACCATGTAATTAATTTACTTACAAGAGATACTTTGAATCCTTCTACCAGATATGTAAAAATTTCTTTCTGAAATGAATTGAAAACAGAAGACTGTTCATGATGAATATTTTCCTCAGAAATTTCGGTCTGGAAAACTGAGGTCTTGCTTTGAGTTACATTTTCTGGAGTTCTCAAAATGTCAATAATGTCTGAATTAAACTCTTTGAATTGAAAAAAAATTCTCTGCTGGAAGATCAGTTAAGGCTTCCTAATGTAAACAAAGATGTAATAATTAGGGAGAATTGTTTCTGTAGTAGACTCTTGTTACTACTGATACTATTTTTGCAGAGAACTAGATGTGGTGCAAGACAAATCACATGCCCCAAATTCACCAGTTACACCTGGTAAATGTATGATTGGTAGGTTCTCCCTCAATACCAGTCTAATAAATAAACCTTACTTTGTTTCTAAATCTAGGGACTTGAAATAGTGAATTGCTTTCAACTTTTATTTTTATTTTATTTATTTTTATTTTTTGAGATAGAGTCTTGCTCTGTCACCAGGCTGGAGTGCAGAGGTGCAGTCTCGGGTTCCAACGATTCTCCTGCCTCAGCCTCCCGAGTAGCTGGGATTACAGGCATGTGCCACCACACCCAGCTAATTTTTGTATTTTTTGTAGAGACAGGATTTCACCGTGTGGGCCAGAATGGTCTCCATCTCTTGACCTCATGATCCACCCGCCTTGGCCTCCCAAAGTGCTGGGATTACAGACATGAGCCAATGCACCTGGCCTCAACTTTTTATTATCTGTCAAGTCCCAAGATAAATATTAAATTTTTCAAATAAATTTTTTGGTTTTTATTATATTGTTGCTATTGAAGACATACGAACACTTATAACATCAGATTCTTTTTTTTTAATTGACAAATAAAAAGTTTATGTATGGTGTTACAACATGATGTTTTGATATATGTATAATGAGTAAATCAAGCTAATTAACATTTCTACGTTACATGAATTATTTTTTTGTGGTGAGATCATTTAAAAATCTACTTTCTTAGCGGTTTTCAAGTATACAGTGTGTCTCAGTCCATTCAGGATGCTATAACAAATTACCATATAGTAGGTGGCTTATCAACAATAGACATTTATTGCTCAGAGTTCTGGATACCCAGAAGTCCAAGATCAAAGCACGGGATATTTGGTGTCTGGTGAGGGCCCCCTTCCTTTATAGATAGTGCCTTCCCGCTGCATCTTCACATGGCAGAAGGCGCGAACAAGCTCCCTAGGGCCTCTTACTGATCCCACTCAGGAGGGTTCTGCCCTCACAATTTAATCTCCTCCCGAAGGCCCCACCTCATAACGCCATCACTTTGAAGGTATCAGCATCTGAATTTTGGGGGGATACATTGAGACCATAGCACAATATATTATTAACTGCAGTCACCAGTCACCATGCTCTACAGTAGCTCTCCAGAACTTATTCTTCCCATCTAAATGAAACTCTGTACTCTTTGATCAACATCTTCCATTTCCTCTCACCCACCAGCCCCTGGTAACTACCATTCTAGTCTCTGCTTCTGTGAATCTGACTTGTTTTTTATTTCAGGTTTATGTGAGATTGTACAGTATTTGTCTTTCTGTGCCTGGCTTATATACTCAGCATAATAATCCTCCAGGTTCGTCCATGTTGTCAGAAATAACAGGATTTCCTTCTTTTTTAAGACTAAATCGCCTTCCATTATGTATATATAGCACATTTTCTTTATCCATTCATCCACTGATGGATACTTAGACTGACTCTATATTTTGGCTATTGTGAATAATGCTGCAGTTAACATGAGCATGCAGATGTCTTTCAAGATACTGATTTCATTTTCTTTGGATACATACCCAGAAGGTGAATTGAGGGATCATATGGTAGTTCTATTTTTGATTTTTTTGAAAAACCTCCATACTTTTTTCCACAGTGGCTCTACTAATTTACATTCCCACTAACAATATACAAGAGTTCTCTTTTCTCTACATGTTTACCAACATTTATTATCTTTTTTCTTTTTGATAAAAGTCCTTATGACAGGTATGAGGTGATATCTCATTGTAGTTTTAATATGAGTTTCCCTAAGTATCAGATTCTTAATGTTTTGGTCTAAGAGATATATATTAAGATAAATAGCAAGAGCCGTGGCAGTAATGATCAAACATAACTACTATGGTTACAATACCTAAGGGAGAATTCCTCACTCATTTAAAAATTGGCACCTCCTCATTCCATAATGAGAGAAATGAGTGAGGAAAAATGGAACAATAATGGCATTTCTTTTATACTATTTAAGAGACTCTAATAATTATTCTTGCATATATTCTTTTTCTTTGTAGGAAAAGCCATTGACAAAATCCCTGCAACGTGGAGAAGACCCCCAGTTTGATCAGGTATGTGATGTATATGTTATATGCTAGTTTTCCTTTAGTTCAGCATTCACGCAAGGCAGGGCCTGCATGCTCACTATTGTTGTATGGAGGAACATCCTCAAAGAGGATACGGTATGTGATCTTAAGAACTGCACCCTGCAGTTTTCATGGTTGTGGTTTATAGCTGTTCAGTAAATGTCTATCGGTTAGAACCAAAAAGAACTGGAAAGTATTGGGATAATATGAGTAGGTCTTCAATTAATTATTTCCTATATCTTTAGATATTGGAATCAAAGAAACCAAGAAAAGAGTTTAAAGGAAATTCCATTCCTTTAAAAACTTGAGATTCTTCTAAATAAATGATACTATGTGATGATCAGATCTCTGCACTAGAGCGTATTCTTGTTTTCATCCAACACTTTTTTGGAGGCCTACTATTTGCTTGACGCTGTGCTAGGTACTGGTGATACAAAATCTAAGATAAGTTTTAGGCCTTCAAGAATTCACTCTCTTGTGAGAAGGATACTACCTAAAAGATAAGTATAACACAGTTTAGGATCTTAAGATTCTAATAGAGAAAATAATACATGAACAAAATTATTTAAGACAGAATAAATACAAAGTAAGTCCTTTGAAAATAGGTTAGGACTAGTAAAAGAACATTCAACTCTAAACAGTAGGTAATAAACGTACAATATCAGGATCTGATAGATTCTGGTTCAGTAACTTCAGGAAGGTCCTTGGCACGTTTAAAAATGATGGATAACAGGACATCCAAGGAGGCCGGAGGTATGTTTGTGAAGTTTCCTAAACTTTTGCAGTTAATGGCAAAAAAGGCACTACGTTCTTCAGAAATGTCAGTTGGTGCCAACGTCAGATACAAAATACTGCTGGATATTCCCTGGCTTGAGCTAGCATGGTGTTTTTATGGTCTAATGAAAAACACACAGGGTATACACTTTCTGTAGGGCTTTGAAATTGCCTTTAATATGAAATCCAGAGGAAGCCTCCCTGGCTGTACAAATTTAGCCTTGTATGATCCAGAAACATCATGACTGTACCGACAAAATCCTTCATTTTCTATTTTATGAGCTGTTCTGTGAAGGAGACCTCACAGGTTTATGCTCACAGCCAGCCCCGCAAGGGTGGCGTGGCTCTGGGCTTGCTCCATTGCTAGCCCAGCTGGCCATTTTCTAGAATGCTGGTGAAATGGAAGATGGGCCTCATCTCTTTGTGCCATGACGCTATCTTTTCTAGTCACATTGTCCATTGTTGTTGTCACCTGGCAGGTGCCGAGGTGGTCAGAGACCCTTGGTGAATATGGTATATGATGTTTGGGGTTACCATTTTGGAAATGTGGCAAGTTGTAGCTTTTTAAGAATGTAAATAGTGTAGGGTACAGTGGCTCACACCTGTAATTCCAGCACTTTGGGAGGCCGAGGCAGGTGGATCTCCTGAGCCCAAAAGTTCGAGACCAGACTGGGAAACAGGATGAAACCTTGCCACTATCAAAAATACAAAAAAATTAGCCAGGCATAGTGGTACATGCCTGTGGTCCCAGCTACTCAGGATGCTGAGGTGAGAGGATCACTTGAGGAGGCGGAGGTGGCAGTTGAGCCAAGTTCACACCACTGCACTCAAACCTGGGTAACAGTGAGAGCCCATCTCGAAAAAAAAAAAAATGTAAATACTTATCACCTGTCTTCTATTATCTTTCCACTCTATTTTATATTCTTTGTCTCTTTATCCTATTAAATTATCACTGTCCTTTCTTCAAAAACATTTTTCTCCAGCTTAATGTACCTCTCTTTATTCTCTGAGAAAATGGTCCTAAATTTTAACTTTGCAGATAATAGTAATCCGAAATAACTGGGCTTAAACACAATTTCTCATTTATTACTCAGCTTTCTATTTCTGAATATCAGTACTGTGGAAAAGACATGACCTTTGGAATTAGACAGACCTGGGTTTAAATCCCACCTTTGTCACTTAATTAGCTATATAACTTTTAACTTTGCATCTCCAAGTGTTGTCCATGCATCTGTGTCATCAGCATCACCTGGGAGCTTGTTAGAAATGCAGACGGTCAGCCTGGCCCCGGAACTGCTGCATCCGCCACCTAACAAAACTTCCAGGTGACTCACATGCACATTAACGCTTGAGAAGCCCTGCCCTGTAACGTATCTCTATGTATTAAAGACCCTTTAAGTGTGAACCAATAGTAAGATGGTCACTAAGAACTTTCAAATAGGACACATAGGATTGTCCTCTGATCATTACATCATAAACTCACAAATGAACTGTGAGAGAGGACAAGCCACAAAATCTAATCCTGTTTTAAAGTGATAGCAAGACTTTCAGGCCTGATATGGTTTGGCTGTGTCCCACCGAAATCTCTCCTCGAAGTGTAGCTCCCATAATTCCCACGTGTCACGGGAGGGACCCAGTGAGAGGTAATCAGATCATGGCGGGCCAGTCTTCCCCATGCTGTTCTCATGACAGTGGATACATCTCATGAGATTTGTTGGTTTTATAAAGAAGAGTTCCCATGCACGTGCTGTCTCTTGCCTGCTGCCATTGTTAGACGTGACTTTGCTCCACATTCACCCTCTGCCGTGATTGTGCGGCCTCCCAGCCATGCAGAACTGTGAGCCAATGAAAGTTCTTTCCTTTATAAATTACCCAGTCTCTGGTATGTCTTTATTAGCAGCATGAGAACAAACTAATATAAGGCCATAGAGAAGCTTGACTAAAGTGGGTCCACCTGTAGATTCAATGGGGAAAAAGTTGGCAAAGTATAATAGCTTTTGAAAGTGCTTACTGTGGTTCAAATGTGTACCCTCCAAAATTCAGCTGCTGTTAATGTGATAGTATCAAGAGGTGGGGCCTTTAAGTGGTAATTTTCCCATGAGGGCTCCTCCCTTATGAATGGGATTAGGTGCTCTTATGAAAGGTCTTGACACAGGGAGCTCCTCTCTTTTGGTCCTTTCTCCATGTGAGGACACAGTGTTCAAGGAGCCGTCTTGGAAGTAGAGACTGAACCTTCACCAGACAGTGAACCTGCTGGTAACTTGATCTTGGACTTCCCAGCCTTCAGAACTATGCTGAATACATTTTTGTTCTTTATCAATTACCAATCTCAGCAGCACTAAAACAGTGCTCATCTGCTGTTGCAGCCAACAAACTCTTAAGAATTTCAGTTCCATTGGTAAGGCCATGAATAGAGCAAGGTCTCTTAGTCCTTTGGCATTAAACATTCAAATTTTACAGTTTTATTCCAAACAGTAGGATTTTAATCTGGGTTCCCACAGAGGTCTGCCTATGGGAAAAGAACATGCTGGAGATGCCACCTTGAGTGGTTCAGACTCCATTGCTGTAACTGTAGGAGTAGTTGTACTGGTAGAGATAGCATTTATTTAGTACTTGTATGATAGGTACTAAGCTAAGTGCATCCTTTGAACAACATACGGTGGGTTCCTGTTTAAGAGATATTTGTATCAAATTCTTTCTTCTAAATGTCACTGGCATGAACCACAGGGTATATAGAGCTGGGTATCTACTGCTTCACTGCCTAATCCTGAATGGCCCTGTTCACTCCTCTACCTAACCAGCCCATGATTCATTTTCTTCTTGCTAGAAATAGAAGCAAAACAAATTC